CTTTGAGGACATTGCGCTGTACTTCTCCAGGGAGGAATGGAGCCTCCTTGATGAGGGTCAGAGACAGCTGTACCTGAATGTGATGCGGGAGAACTTTGAACTTCTATCCTCCCTGGGTAAGACCCTCACTGTCATCTGTGACCTGGACTTCCTTTTTCTATTTCCCAGGCCCCATCTCCCAGGGTGTGCTCTGTCCTCCCATGTAGACTGTGGTACTGCTTGGTTTTCCAGTTTCCTGGGTAGTTGCTCTCCTGGGGAGTGTTGGTCTGTTTCTGCTGCTCCCTTCTATTCCTGAAATCCCAATACTCCCCGTTGCACTACATTCACAGGGAAGGACTTGTGGTTGGTAGTGTGGTTGTATGCCTGAGGGATTCCACCTTGATCAGTGAGGAAACATTTACTACATTCCTGTTCGTCGTTTGTACATTGTTTTTTTTAAAAAATATATTTTATTGATTTTTTACAGAGAGGAAGGGAGAGAGATAGAGAGCCAGAAACATCAATGAGAGAGAAACATCACACAGCCGCCTCCCGCACATCTCCCACTGGGGATGTGCCCGCAACCCAGGCACATGCCCTCGACCGGAATCGAACCCGGGACCCCTCAGTCCGCAGACCGACGCTCCACCCACTGAGCCAAACCGGTCTCGGCTGTACATTGTTTTTGATGAATTGTTTATATATCCTTATCCTGTTTAATAACTACTTTTTGGTTAGACATTCTTTTGACTACCTCGTTATATTCTATATATTAATTGCTTAGGACATACAGGAACACATATTTTTGCATGCGCTTAATTGTGCTTTGCAGATGCAGATATTGCTCCCCCACACCCGTTTTTCTACAAAGTGCATGTTTTTAGGCAACCCTGCATTCAGCAGGTCTAGGGCCACCATGTTTCTAGCAAGCTCAGATGCTTGTTACTAGTGCTTAGCTATAAAGTATTATTCATGAAGTTATATAGCATTCGCTTTTGAGTCAGAATCATGCAGTTATTAGTCTGCAGTATAATATTAACATACTTTTATTATTCCCTGGAACTCCAACTATTTGTGTGAATTTCTGTCTTCATCCCAATATTTGCTTTATTGCGCTGATCAGAATGGAATACACAATCTCTCCAAGCAATTTTTTCATATTATTTGCGAGTATTTTCACCCATTTTCTAGATTACCTTTCCTTTCATTTTGTTTATTGCTGTTGTGCTTTAAGAAGCTTTTTTTTTCTTTATTTGTTGCAATCTGGACTGCTTGTTTTTTCGGTTTTTTAAAAATATACTTTATTGATTTTTTACAGGGAGAAAGGGAGTGGGATAGAGAGTTAGAAACATCCATGAGAGAGAAACATTGATCAACTGTCACCTGCCTGTGCACCCCCTACTGGGGATGTGCCTGCAACCAAGGTATATGCTTTTGACTGGATTCTAACCTGGAACCCTTCACTCCACAGGCCGATGCTCTATGCACTGAGCCAAACTGGTTAGGGCTGTTTTTTCTATTTTGTCTGGTGGTTGGTATCACACCCAGAAACTCCTGTCCAAAACAAATCTCCAGAACTTTTTCTCTAGGTTGTGCTGAGTTTTAAGTTTTAGCACTGACGTTCAATTTTGTCACACATGTTGAGTTAAATTTTTTTTTTAATATATTTTATTGATTTTTTACAGAGAGGAAGGGAGAGGGACAGAGAGTTAGAAACATCAATGAGAGAGAAACATCGATCAGCTGCCTCCTGCACATCTCCTACTGGGGATGTGCCCGCAACCCAGGTACATGCCCTTGACCGGAATCAAACCTGGGACCCCTCAGTCCGCAGGCCGACGCTCTATCCACTGAGCCAAACCGGCTTCCGCTGTTGAGTTAAATTTTATCAGCGGCATCCAGGATTGTTCTTTTTACATGTGAATATGAATTTTTAGCAGCACCATTCATTGAAGAAACTATCTTTCCTTCCTTCTGTGTCTTGTAGCTTTGACAAAGATTACTTGAAAGTATGAGCCTGGGTTTATTTCTGTGTTTTCTGTTCTGTTCTGTTGATCTACCAGGTATGTGTTTGTGTTGGTCCTTCAACACACCATTTGCTTGCATTCTCTTTGTAATAAATTGATACCACCAGCTTTGTTTTTGTACAAGATTTCTTTTGCTGTTCGAGTTTTTTAATTTCATACATTTCAACATACTCTTTTCATTTCTTTGTAAAATACCATAGGAATTATCCTCAGTATTGCATTTAATCTATAGATTGCATTGTGTACTATGGATATTTTCAGCATATTTCTTTTTAAAAATTCTTTATTGTTTAAAGTATTGCATATTGTATTACATATGTCTCCTCTTACCCTCATTGACCACAAATAAGTGAGATCATGTGATATTTATCTTTCTGGCTCATTTAGCTTAGTATAATGCTCTCTATGTCCATCCATGCTGTTGGAAATGGTCAGAGGTCTTTCTCTTTTACAGCAGCGTAGTATTCCATTGTGTAGGTGTAACACAGTTTTTTAATGCACTCATCTGCTGATGGTCACTTAGGTTGTTTCCAAAATATTAGCTATTGTAAATTGTGCTGCTATGAACATAGGGGTGCATATGTCCCGTCTGATTGGTGTTTTGATTTCTTGGGATGTTTTCCTAGAATTGGGATTACTGGGTCAAATGGGAGCTCCATTTTTAATTTTTTGAGGAAACTCCATACCATTTTTTCTTTCACAAAGTGTCTGTTTTAGTCCTTTGCCTATGTTTTGGTTGGATTGTTTATCTTTTTGTTAAGAGGTCTGATTTCCCTGTAAATTTTGGAGTGTAAACACTTATCAGATTTAACATTGGCAAATATGTTCTCCCATGCAGTGGGCTTTCTTGTTGTTTTGTTGATGGTTTCTTTGACTGTGCAGAATTTTTTTATTTTGATGTAAGTGCCATTTGTTTATTTTTTCCTTAGTTTGCATTGCTCTATATGCTGTATCGGTAAAGACATTGCTAGGACATATGTCTGATATTTTGCTGCCTGTGGATTCTTTTAAGATTTGTATGGTTTCCCATCTTATGTTTAAGTCCTTTATCCATTTTGAGTTTATTTTTGTGTATGGTATAAGTTGGTGGTCTAGTTTTATTTTTTGTTGTTGTTGGTTTTTTTGCATGTTTCCATGCAATTTTCCCAACATGATTTATTGAAGAGATTATCTTGACTCCATTGTATTCTGTTTCCTTTTTTGTCAAATATTGAGCATAATGGCTTAGGTCGATTTCTGGGTTCTCTGTTCTATTGAATTGTTCTACATGTCTGTTGTTGTGCCTGTACCAGGCATTTTTGTAATATAGCTTGGTATGTGGTATTGTGATCCCTCCAACTTTGTTCTTCTTTCTCAAGATTGGTGCACTTTTTTTGTTTTTTTAAATTATTATTCCATATGAATTTTTGGAGAGTTTGTTCTAGGTCTGTGAAATATGTCCTTGGTATCTTAATTGGAATTGAATTGAATTTATAGATTTCTTTGGGTTGTGTGGACATTTTATTGATGTTGATTCTGCCACATTGTGAACATGTTATATTCTTCCATTTGTTTACGTCTTCTTCTACCTCTTTTTTCAACTTTCTGTAGCTTTTGGAGTACAGGTCAGTTACCTCCTTAGTTAAGTTTATTCCTAGGTCTCCTAATTTTTTTTGTTGCAAAGGTAGATAAGATTGTGGTTTTTTGTTGTTGTTATTTGTTTGTTTCTCTTCCTTTGAGTTCATTATTGGTGTATAAAAAAGCCATAGATTTCTGGGTGTAAATTTTGTATCCTGCTACATTGCTGAATGCATTTTTGTCATATAAGGCTTTTATTATGTTGAGGTATGACCCCTGTGCTCCCACTTTGCTGAGAGTTTTTATCAAGAAAGGTGCTGGATTTTGTCAAATGCTTTTTCTGCATCAATTGCTAAGACTATGTGATTTTGGTCTCTCAATTTGTTTATGTGATGTATCATGTTTATTGATTTGCGGATATTGTACCATCCTTGCATCCCCAGAATAAATCCCACATGGTCTTGGTGTATGATCTTTCTAATATAATGCTGGAATTGATCTGTCAGAAATTTACTGAGGATTTTAGCATCTATCGGGGCCATTGCGACTACAGTGGGAGAGCTATGTGTAGGAGACACCCCTTTGGAACAGGCACGGCTTCAGTGGAGCTTTAGTGCTCAATGAGTCTGCCCCTTGAATGTGTCGCTTATGGATATGAAGTGTTGTAAGCAGGTATGGTATGACACTGACCACTGGATATACTGGCTCTTGGGTCTCTAGGGAGGCGTAAAGTCAGCCACTGCCTGGGGCCACCCAACAGGATCTACAGAGAGATCTGCAGATTCTCCTCTTTGTATAGTGTTTGGAAGTGCCCCCATGAGGCCCAGCTGTGAAGCAAGGAAGGCTAGAGCTGGTACCATGTCTTAGTCCTTTTATTGATAGGTTTGTGGTTCCCTGACCCAACTGCAACTTGTTTGACAGGTTTTAGCCTGAGTAAGGACAGGCCATGCATATACAAAAGCTGCTGCACAGAGCTTGCGTGGGGTTGTATATTGGATGGGATGAGGTGTCAGGGAATTACTAGGTTGAGGCAAACAGAAATGGCTGCCAGTCAGCCGTATGACTGGAGAGGTTTCAGCATACGAACAATGATCCCTGAGAGCACCTCCATCTGGGAGAAAGCCGCCCTTGAGTTCCTGCCCCAATTCCAGTCAATCCAGTTTCTCCTCATATGTGTCTGGGACCCCACCGAGCCAAGCCTGGCACTGGATATCCCAGGAAGTGGTAGCTTGTAAGTTGAGGTGGTGGTGCTGGTATTATAAGAGGAGCTGCTGGGTATCCTGTAGCCTCTGTGTCACTGAGCTCCAATCTGCACTGGTTTTTACAGCCTGTAGTTCTTACTGCCAGGGGACTTCTTTCCCCAGCTCTGGAACCCTGTGATGGGCGTCTGGTGTGGGACTTGGACCTCTTGTTCCTCCAGGTGACTTCTGCAGAGACAATCTCCCTCCCAATTAAAAAATTGGCCCTCATGGGTACAGGAGCAGCACTTTCCATGCCTCTGCACCTCCTACCATTCTAAGTGAGCTTTCTACTTTACTTCTCTAGTCATAAGACTTACATTCAGCCAGCTTTCTAGCAGTTCTGGCTGATGGTTGTTCTGCATTTCACTTGTAATTTTGATGTGGTTGTGGGAGGCAGTGAGTATAGCCTTTTGCCTACACCACCATCTGGGATCTCTTCTCCTGTAACTTTTCTGAATTCAATTCTTTATTCTACTTTTATGTTCACCTGAGTAGTGAGAATATTTTTTCCATTGACTTTTTTTTTCCAGAGAGAGAAAGGGCGAGGCAGAGAGAGAGAGAGAGAGAGAGAGAAACATCAGTTGGTTGCCTCCCACATGTGAACCTGAAACCCACATACGTGCCCCTTATTGGGAAACGGACCCATGACCTTACAATGTACAGGCAGGTACTCTCAGTGGTGATTGACACAGGCCTGAGCTATTTATTTATTCTTTAATTTATTCATTTATTTATTTTTACACATATTTTATGATTTCATTGAGGAAGAGGAGTGAGAGATAGAAACATGAATAATGAGATAAAGTCATTGACCAGCTGCTTCCTGCACACCTCCCATTGGAGATCTGGCCGGCAATCTGTGCATGTCCCCTGACAAGGAATGGAATTGTGATCTCCTAGGTCATGGTTTGATGCTTATTCACTGAGGCATACTGGGCAGCCTTTATTTTTTGATTTTAGAGACGGGAAGGGAGACAGAGAAAGAGAGGGAAACATTGATCTGCTATTCTCCCCATCTTAGCGTTTATTGGCTGTCCCCTACATGTTCCCTGATGGGGGATCAAACCCACAACCACGATGCAGGGGACCACACACTCAGTAGGAGAGCTACCAGGTCAGGGCTCTGAATTTATTAATTTCAGAAGCTCCTATGGTAAGTTTACAAATTTCTTTGTGGTGCGTCATGTCGTCTCCTAACATCAACATCTCTTATGATGCTTTGTGGTTCATAGTATCAGGTGTAATGTCTTACCTTTCATTTCTATTTTCATTTCTTTGAGGCTTCTTTGTTTGTTTGTTTGGTTGGTTGGTTGGTTTTGTTATTTTATTTAGGCTGGCTCAGGGTTTGCCAATTTTTTTATGTTTTAGAAAAGTACCTGTTAGGTATTCTTTTATTTTTTCTTGTCTCACATTTATTAATGCTTGTTCAAATATTTATTGTTCCTTTCCTTTAAACCTTTGGGTTTACTCTCTTGTTTTGTCTCTAGATTTCAGAGATGGCAGGTTAGGTTTTTTTAGATCTTTTTTCATAATGGAGGCATTTATCCGTATAAAATTTTTTCTTAGAATTACATTTTCTGAATTTTATACATAATTTTTGATAGATTGTCTTTTTATTTACTTTGTGTCTAGACTTTTTTGAGTTCTGTTTTGTGTTTGGCTACATTGATATTCTTATTTATGTATTATTGGTTTCAGATAGGGAGGAGGAGAGATGGAGAGAGACAAGGAGAGAAGGAGAAACATAATTGTGAGGGAGAAAAATCAATTGGCTGCCTTCTGCACACAAGCTAACTGGAAATGGAACCCGCATACTGATATTTGCCGTGACTGGGATTGAATCCTTGACCCTTTGGTACACAGGACGATGCTCCAACCAAATGAGTCATACTGGCCAAGGCATTCTGTGGTTTTTAAACACAAAAATTTTCAGTATTTTTTAAAAAACAGGTCACTATAGACAAGGATAGCGGAAGTACAGTGGCTGCTGGAGGCAACGCTGACCCTCGGTTTTCACTCTAGGTATCTTCAAATATGTTTATTCACCCAGCCTTTTCTAGTCATTCTTTCTGTACAGTTCTTCATTATTTGTGTCTGTAATACTGTTTGCCTTCATGGTACTCTTATTCCCATTTCCTATGGGGTTTTTGTTCACGGATAGCTGTCTACTTCCACTGGGATGGAGGAAGATGCTTTTATCTCTGATCCTGCCATCTTGCTGTTGTCACTCACATAGGTCTTTTGTCTGTGATTTCATTTGTCCTTTGTTGTACTACCACGGTATTGACCATCCATCTTTTCCGGGTTTTTTTTTTTTTTTTGAAGATTTGCATCATTTATCCCATGCAATGGCTCCAATGGGATTGAAGAGAAAGAATCATTTCTGCATCACAGAAGAAACACGACTTTATGAATGACACAATGGACCCCCAGGCGGTCTTGCCTTGGTGAAGGGTCATTGGGGAGGAATTCACACCTGGCCTTTGTTGCATTCATAGCTAGAAACCCAGTGTTTGGTTACAGTTGCCTGTTCCTCACCCAGTTATGCTTGTTTGTGCTTATTGTTGATACTTTGCCAATTCCTCAGTTCTAATAGTGATCATTTCTACTCAGATTCCCAGTGCAAGGAAAACCTTAACTTTTGTAATTTGTACCTCTGCCTATTTCACAGGTCTCCCTTTACTGCACTCCAACTTTGGTCCATGCCTGCTGCACCTTGGAGAGCACTCGTATTATTATATAGACGTTGAACTGCATGTGCTCTAATACAATTAATTTTTGTGGCTTTGAGCAGCTTAAATTTTTACACAGACTCACATGGCCAAGATATAAGGTCCTAAAGGAAGCCGTTTGTGCAGGAACAATGAGTAGAGCCTTCCTCTCTTCTTTGTATCCCATCCTGTGCTTCTGTCCCCCTCTTGGTGAGATTTTCATCATAGACTGACTTTTGGGGCCAGGTTATGTATTAACAACCATTTCCTCGGAGTTTACTTCACTTGTCTTGAAAATCTTTCCATGGCATCAGGCCAAGTCATGACAGGTAAACATTTGCGGTAAAGATATTATGTTTTTACAAGATCAACATGTATTTCACCAGCTTTTCCTTTTGTTCAGGTTGCTGCTGTGGAGCAGAGAATGTGGAGGCACCGACTGGGAAGAACATTTCTGTAGGGGTGTTACAGGTAAGGAATCACAAGTTAGCTTTGTCTTCCCAGAAGAGCCATCCCTGTGAGAGTTGTGGGCTAGTATTTGTTAACATTTGCCACGTGATGGAGGGGCAGGGAACCCAACACGCACTGATAATGTTGAGGTGTGGGGCATGTGCAAAATGGTTTTATTTCAGTCCGAAATTTTACCAGCAGCATGTGAGAGTGAAGACTTTCATTAGAGGGATGGACAGGATCTCACTTGCAAACTGCTGCAACTTCAATGTGTCCCAGAATCATTTCACATGCGGAGGGGTTGGGCAGGGTGTCCTTAGCGAATCAGGACATCTCCTCCTAAATGCTACTCAGACCAGGGACAGTCCTAATGCTATTTCAACACGTGGGATGATGTTTCAAAGGCAAAGAAATTATTACACCAGAAAAGATTGTAAGAAAGACATTAGTTGCCCTCACACGTTTATTCAGGAAAAGGATGTCCATGTTGGAAGTCAATCTTTTGTGTGCTCTGGATGTGGAAAATATCTTACCAAATTTTCTTGCTTTCATTATCAACAGAGAGATCACACTGAAGAAAGGCCTTATCAGTGCAGTGAATATGGGAAATATTTTAGCAGTAGTAGCTGCCTAGATGACCACCAAGCTTTGTACACTGGAGAAAGGCCTTATGAGAGCAGTGAATGTGGAAAAGCTTTTACCAGAAGCAGTGCCCTCCATGATGATCAGGGAGTTCACACAGAAGAAAGGCCTTATGAGTACAGTGAGTGTGGGAAACCTTTCACCAGTAGCAGTAACCTTCATTGTCATCAGAGAGTTCACACTGGAGAAAAGCCTTATAAATGTAGTGAGTGTGGGAAACCTTACTGCAGTTTCACTAAACTTTGTCGTCATCAGAGAGTGCACACTGGAGAAAGTCCTTATCATTTCAGCAATGGTGGGAAATCCTTTACCACTAAGACCCACTTTCCTAGTCATCAGAGAGTACATACAGGAGAAAATCGTTATAAATGCAGTGTATGTGGAAAGTCTTTTACAAGGAGCACTGGTCTCCAATATCATCAGAGAGTTCACACAGGAGAAAAACCTTATCAGTGCAGTGAATGTGGGAAAACTTTTACAGAAACAAGAG